CGCTAGAATGAGTCCTAAGCAGAGGAAACAGCAGGTAAAGAGTGGAGAGGATGCTGTACTTGCAGAAGTACAAAGGCTATGAGAGTGTATGAAACATTGTTACTAAAATAGGCCACATGGGCTGGAATCTGAAATTTGGAAAAGGAGTGAGGCCTGATGTTAGAGAGGTAAAGTGAAAGCAGTTTTCTTCATTAGACATGGAAACACAAGGAAAAGAAGCAGGGCACATGCACATATGCAAGAGTGTATATACTGGTCTCAGTTAGTACCCTTAGGTGTGTGGGCTGGTGCTCACTTGCACTGAAGTAGGGGTTAAAATCCTTTTAAATATAATGTATGCTCCCAGACTGAGGAAGTCAGACGTGTGTATAGGTAGCATATACTTTGCAGAGAAAATAACCTTATTAACAATTGAGAGAAATATCCTCTATTTCCCACTTCCAGGTATTCTTTCCTAAAGAAACTTATCTACATTAGAATTATATGTTCAAATGCCTTTGTTTCTGTTGGGAAAGAATCTTCCTGACTTCTTGTGTGAAAAGTTGTATTCTCAGTGTTTTATTCTCAAGGCAGTAGACCACTTACAAACTAAGTTATTCAGTTCCCTACCAATTAGCTGCAAAGAAGTGCTGGTTTAAGGGTCACTTAAACTCTATGCCTAAATAGACTGTCTCAAGATAGATTACCAGTAGGTTTCCACAGTCAGTACAAAGTTTACTGTTAAAAACATTTGTTAAAAGGTAATTAAAATATAAACATAGTTGGGCATCTTTGCAAGTTTCAGCATAGTATGTCTGAAAGACAACTTAGGAAACAGAAAAGGTACTCTACCTAAAGCCTCCCTGTTTTGTTTATGGAAAGGTTATTTGTATGATTTCATGTGGAGTATTTTCATGTGGAGTATTGCTGTATGCAACATTAATATTGGTGTCAGAGACAGTGGAACACGTTTTCAATTTAACCAATAAAATGTATATTAATATTAAGCACTAGGGATCCTATAAGATGCAGCTGTGCCCACAAAAAACTTCATTTTATGTGGATACAAGCATTAAAATATCCAGGATATGATATAAGTGCTCAAACAGAAGTATGTATACAACTTATTATAGGAGATTCAAGAGAAGACATCCTTCAACCTGGAGGGAAAAAAATGATAAATAAGCAGTTCAGTATGATTTTTCTTCCCCAGTAACTAGATATGGGAGGGCTGAATCATTTTATATAGGTCAGAATAACATCTGATTAGCACTAACTTGTCTAATGTTTGATCTTAATTCAAATGAGTGAGAATGTTATTGGAATTTCTAGTTCTCTTATCTTTTAAAACAACCTGGTTTCCCTTATAAGTATTTTAAAAAGCAAATTATGTAATACACACCTGTTTAACTAGAAATGTTTCTTTAGATTATGTAATATATTGTATTTGAAAAGTCAAGTATCAAGCTAAAGTATCATAGTGTTTCTGAAAACACTATGATGTTATGTGGATATTATACTTTATATAAACTAAGACTTTTCTGAGACTCTGAAAGCTCTAAGACATAATTCTCTAAAACTGTGGGCAATTTTTGGTGCCTTGAAAGCAGAAATGTTTTATTATGAAACAGTGATGTTTTTGTCATTGTAATCTGAATTCTCTAATTTATTATGAATAAATTACAACTTTTAATCTGAGCAGTCTGCACTTTAAAATATTTTAAAGGGTTGTCTTTTGGCGAGTCAATTTGTATCAAGAATTTTATATTGATTACTTCCTCTATTTTTTCACATATAGGTGACTTCAGCTTCTATTATCAACAAAGCTGTAAATTTCTCTTGGCTCTTCCAAGCATTTCTTTAATTCATTTCTTTCTTTTCCAGTATCCTTAATCTCAATAATCATATGGCAGTGCCACTGATTTTGAAGAACATTAATGGGATTACTGGACACGATATATTTCATTTTAAGAGCTAGTACCGTCTACTTTTCAAATTGTAGAAGAGAAAAATAATGGTGCTATTTCCATACTTCAATATACAATGTTATGTAAAAATGTAGCAAATATACCAAGTTCATCAATGCTATTGCCTCCACCACCACCACCCCCCCCCCCCCCACGCTCCTCTTTTCTTTCCTGGTCCTCTCACCTTTAGAATTTTTCTAGTCAAAATCATACTTCTCATTATGGTCAGACTTTTTTTTTTTAAATAGTACTTTTAAATTGGGTTGATATTGGTTATACAGAGGAAGGGAGAGAAAATGTGATGATGAATCTCTCATTGGTTATCCAGGCAAAAATTTGTTTTGAGTTGTTTCAGATCTCATTTGCTTTTTGATGCTTTTAGGAGAAAGTGGTATCAAAGCATTTTCCTGCACCACTAAAGATGGTAATTAACTTTACACCATCGCTCTTCATCATGGTTCATTAGTTTGCAAGTTTTTGGCCCTCAGAAACAAACTCTTAGTACTCATATCCTGTCTGGGTCCACTAAATTATCTTGTACAAAAAGTACAACAATTTCTTTTATGAATAAAAATGTACATGGACTGAATTTTCTTAAGTGTATTTATATAATTTTTTAGTAATAAGGGCACTATGGTAAAAAACAAATTTATATTGAGTAAGTTGCATGTATAACTTTTATTTGCAAAGGATAATTTACTAGAACCAACTAACAATATTTCTAAAATTTATGCATACATACACATTATATATAGACAACATAAATTAGCTTTTCTGTTGAAATTTTCATGTTATAAATATATTTTGTGAGATGAGAAATTTTGGTAAAAAGACTACCATTATACATAGTTGTTTTGATCTAGCTGAATTGACAGAAAAAGTACTTTTTTACTGATACTAGGTCAGGTTGATCTGATGGGAAAACCAGGAGTTCTAAAAAATTTATAGGTGTTGGCAGTTACATTAAAGTACTGTTCAGTTAAAAGCAGTGACAGTTTATTTCACAGGTTGCCTGAGTCAAGTGGAACTTGCTGTTTTGATATTTTGCCTGACTTTTTTTTTTCCATCTACAAACAAACTAGTGCCTTGTAGAAATAATTTTTAAATGTAGTCAAACTGAAATGTACTAATCTAACCAATATATTTTATTAACTGGAATGGTAATACTTTTTTAGTGGTACTTGCCTAACACTGGGTTTGTGTATTTCTTCACACATTCTGTTAAGTGAACACTCGCCAAAGCAAATATCTGAATGATATTTATACCAGATTGTTTCTATGTAGGAACACTATGTTACACTGCTTGCTTCCTTGAAGTATTTCAGATTAGAAGTTGTGAATGTTGAATACAAATTTTGGCTACTTTTTTTTTTTATGCTACTTTAAAGTACAGTTTTCACAGCTGAAATTTTCTGGTAAAAGGTAATCACAAACCAGGATCTAAATAAAGCACAATGATTATTCAATTTGTTAATCAATTCTAGATGCTAATATATTATCAAACATTATAAACCAAATTTTTCTAAGGAAGTGTATAAAAGTATTGACCTAATAAAACAAGAGAATGTCAAAAAAGTTTAGGCAGGAATTCTTTTTCATTTGTTTTGAGTGCTGCTTGCATTGGGACTTTTTAGTAAATATGAATGGCCTCTGATCTTGTTCATTGCTTGGAATGCTGAGGAAAGAGAGTTACTCAATCCTTCAGAGAAGGTGGCAGATGCTAGGCCTGGGTGCTCCAGAATACCTCTGAAGTGCCATGAGCTGCATGTGGAAGGGCCAAGCAGGCAATTCCTCACTTCCTATTTAACACACTGTACTCTGGTTAGGAAACTCCTTTAGTATCTGTTCCACATATTTTAAATTCTGTGTAAGAATGAGTTTGAGTAAACTGAATCTGTTCTTAAAAGAAAATTTAAAAACCTTGGAATGGCAATGGGTAATAATTATGAGACATGTATCAGGGGGATAAAAAAGAGGGAAGTGTCTATAGGGACCCAAATCTGAAATGATGTCACTCTTAGTAGCGGGCACAAGAAAATCCTACCAATTGCACTCTAAAATAAGGAAATTAAGGGTTTTGGCTTTTTTTTTTTTTTTTTTTTTGGCAAGTAAAACCATGTTTCCTTTCTCTCTCACTCTCTTATTTTCCTTTTACTTTGGTTGTAGATTTTAGTGTTCTAGACATTTGAACTGCACAAAGATAACAACAAGTAAAGTTTGGTAGAAAAACTGATAATGTGTTTCAGATGCAAGGACAGGTGGAAGTTGTACTAAAGACTAAGGATACACTAGCTGACAGGAATCAGAATGATGAGATGCTGGACTTTCCATTGACACTAATGACACCAAGGAACTAGTTAATAAGAATCAGAACAGGATGCTGGAGTGTTCCACTGACAATAATGAACATCACATGATCTAAGACATTCAGGAAGATCCTTTGGGAAGCCTTAGATCTTGAATTGCTCAAGTGAGAAGACAGAAGAAAAGAGATAGTATTTGTAGTAAAAGAAATAACAGGGATGAAGGAGGGGGAAAGCATGTTTACTAAAGAGAAAGAAGATCATCTGAACGGATAGAAATGTTTGTGTCTGGGGGGATATAGCCTTGAAATGGTACTGGCTCTGGAACTGTATTAAAGACAGGCTTGGAAGGCAAGTAGAGTTCACTGAATTTAAAGTATACAGAAGGGGCAACATAGTTCCACCACTGGTACTGAGCAAAGTGCTTTAGGCCCCGGTGACTGGCATGTTCTGAGCATTCCAAGCACTTTTCTTTTACTATCTTAAATTTTTGATGATGGAACAAAAATTAATGGTATATCACAAAATACTAGATTATTTTTGAAGATTTAAAATTACATATGCTGTAGTAGACACAATTGTGTGGGGGAGAAAAAAGCTTCGCTAGAGCACCAATAACATAACCCACCTCTTTTATGTCAGAATGATTTAATAAATAGATTTAACTTTTATTACCCTTTTAAAATCAGAATTTGGAAAACACATCTCAAAATTTTGCTTATGGTAAGCTCTATTAATTTGAGAAATGGTATTTAAAGTAAAATACTCTTTATTAGGGTGATCCAGAAATGTTATTGATTATACTAGAAAAGCAATGGATATTACTAAAGAATTAAAATTGGGAAAAGAACTTTCTTTAGGAAGATTTGAGTCAAGTCTGGAGAAGTATTCTTTTCCATGTATAGCTTTTGCTTCTGTTTCTTCATATGCAAGACATGCAGACAAAATTTTACCTGGTATGAATAAAAAAATAATATGAAGAAAGAATCAGTGGACTGACAATAACTTTCTAAGATTAATTCAATAAATGGCAATGGAAGAATTAATATAATATTAATTTAAAAATTAATAAATTAAATCAGCATTCTTTTAAAGTAAATCAGCATTCTTTTAAAGTAACAGATCCTGATATAAAAGTTAGAACAGATCTAAAATAATTCTCCAAAAGAATTCTTAACTTCTAAATACATTTCTTCAATTTCCACACTTTTTAGACCACCCAGTTAAAATGCTGTTTCTTCTCTTCTTCCCTTTTCTTCTCTTATGTTCATTGTCATTTCTAGGTAGGTGTATGTTTATATTCATGCATGTGACATCATTGTCCTTACTCAAATCAGATACAAAGAAAAGCATCTTTTCTAAGCAGCAAAACTTTCTGGATGCGTACTATAAAATGTTTGTTGAGGGTGCACATGAGAGGTCTGTCAAAAGGTTTGTTTGAATAGTGGTAATTGGACAATATTCTAATGTGAGTGTCTTCTGTGACTGTAGGGATTCTGTTTTTCTTAGATAGACATGCATACTTGGAAAGAGCTGCCTTTAAGTCAGACTGTTAGGAAGGGGAGGAGAGAATAAGGAGATGGCTAGAGATCAGATCACGTCAGGTGGCAAATGCCTGTAATCTCAGTGACTCAGGAGGTTGAGACAGAAGGATTGCCAAGTTCAAGGCCAGCCTTAGCAACTTAGCAAGACCCTGTCACAAAATAAAAATAAAAAAAGGCATGAGGGTTCAGCTCAGTGATAAAGCACCTTATGGTTCAATTCCTAGTACTGGGGGAGGAGGGAACCTAAAATCTTAAGACAAAGATGTATTTCATATTGAAAAATTTTCACAAAAACTCTTTGAAAAAACTAACTAAAATTTGGAATTTGTAACTCATGGATGAACTATATGTTTTATCAACTTGCTCAATGAGAGGGATAGTAAAACTGTTAATTAGAATACATTTGACTATAAGTAACAGAAAATGCAGGAATGAAAGCTAGTTTAAAAATTTTTTAAGTTAAGACAATGTCAGATTTGGCTAATTCAGCAGTTCAATTAATTCTTCATTGAGGTAGGATCTTTGCAAATTTCTGTTTTGTCATTCTTAGCATCTAGGATTACCAGACTAAATATAAAACATCCACTTAAATTTGAATTTCAGATAAGCAATTTATAATTTTAAAGGTATAAGACATGCAATATTTTTTTGTTATTCGAAATTCAAATTTGACAGGGTCCCTACTTTCCTATTTCTTTAAACTGAGAAACTTATGAGCAAATTGTCTTTTTAGGTAAGTTTCCCTCCTGGTCACAAGGTGGCTGCCATAAGTTTTTGTGTCACATGTAGAAGCCAACATTCAGTGGCATAAAAAGGATTCTGTTGATAAAGATGAAGGTGAAACAGTGGTGGCTTGCAAGGTAATTAACAATGTAGGTCACCAAAGCAAAAATTTTTGTTGACTAAAACATAGTTCCTCTAATATCAGATACTTTTGTAAGAAGATGTAATTTATCCTGCTTTTTTATGGGAAATAGAAATAATTTTTAGATTAATTAATTTATTTATTATATTAGGTATATATGACAACAGAATGCATTTTGATTCATTGTACTCACTTGCAGCAAAACTTTTCATTTCTCTGGTTGTACACAATGTAGCGTTATACCATATGTGCAAACATGTAACTAGGGTAATAATTTCCATCTCATTCCACCATCTTTCCTGCCCATACCCTTTCTCCCATCCTCTCCCTCCCCTTTGCCCAATCACAGTTTCTCCATTTTTCCCATGCCCCTCCCCCATTATGGATCAGCATCCACTTATGAGAGAACATACACGGCCTTTGGTTTTTTGGGGATTGTCTTACTTCATTTAGCATATTCTCCAACTCCATCCATTTACATGCAAATGCAAAAAAATTATCTTTTAATGCTGAGTAATATTCCATTGTGTATACATACCACAGTTTCTTTAACCATTAATCTATTGAAGTGCATCTAGTTTGCTTCCACAGTTTAGCTATTGTGAATTGAGCTACTATAAACATTGATGTGGTTGTGTTACTAAAGCATGCTGATTCTAATTCCTTTGGGTATAAACTGAGGAGTGGGATAGCTGGGTCAAATGTTGGTTCCATCCCCAGTTTCCCAAGGAATCTCCATACTGCTTTCCATATTGACTGCACCAATTTGCAGTCCACCAGCAATGTATGAGTGTGCCTTTTCCCCCACATCCTCGCCAACACTTATTGTTGCTTGTACTCTTGACAACTGCCATTCTGACTGGCATGAGATGAAATCTTTTTTTTTTTTTTTTAATATTTATTTATTTATTTATTTTTAGTTCTCAGCGGACACAACATCTTTGTTGGTATGTGGTGCTGAGTATCGAACCCCGGGCCGCATGCATGCCAGGCAAGCGCGCTACCGCTTGAGCCACATCCCCAGCCCTTACTAGAGATGATGAACATTCTTTTTTTCATACATTTGTTGATCAATTGTATATCTTTTTCTGAGAAGTGTCTGTTCAGCTTCTTAGCCCATTTATTAATTGGGTTGTTTGTTTTTTTGGTGTTAAGTTTTTTGAGTTCTTTATATATTCTAGAGATTAGTGCTCTATCTGATGTGCATGTGGCAAAAATTTGCTCCCCAAAATGTGGGCTCTCTCTTCACCTCATTGATTGTTTCTTTTGCTGAGAAGAAGCTTTTTAGTTTGAATTCATCTCATTTATTGATTCTTGATTTTATTTCTTGCTTTTTGATTCAGCGATAGGATATGGATCAACTGTCATATTATGCAGAGACCTCTGTTCTTTTTGGATCTGTAAAAATTGATATTTTGTTTCTGAGAACTTTAGCTTTATTAGAGCTGAGAAAATCCCCATATCACTGCATCTGAAATAATTAAAACAATTTTTAGTGAATATTCTGAACGAGTGGAAGAAGATGGCTATCTGTAGATTCTATACTATCTCTAGGGCACACATTAGGTTGTTCTCCATGTGGAAGGTTGGTGGTTCTCTCCTCTTTGAGTGGTTCACATTACCCATAGCTCAATTTCCCTTCTCTTTCCACTTGCTCCCTTTCAAAAATACCCAATCTTTAGCCCTATTTGTATTTAAGTGATAATGGTTTTAAATGAGCTAGATAAACTAATCTGTATTAATATTTACTTTGCTAATGTGTTGGACCTCTGAGGTAATTTAAGGCTTTAATCATTTAATCATTCCTAAAGTTCAACCTTTTAAAAGCTCTCCAGGAATGCTGCCAGATAGGCACCTTAGGGACATGGAAATTTTGGCTTTCCCATCATACTCACAGAGGCAGGTGGCTATAAGAAAGGTTTTCTTCTATGACTCTTGTCTAGAGTCTGTTCATTACATCAGCTTGGTGTCCTAACTTCCCCATATTTCACTGCAAACAATTGGGCTCTACAGTCCTTTTCTCCACCCATTTCCTGTCTCATCCTGAGTGATTCAAACATGACTTGTAAGGATGCCCCACCTAACACCTTTAAATCACAACTTCTTGACCTTCTCTGATGCACAGGCCTTTTCTTTGGACTTAAGTATTCACTACCATGGACCATATGCCACCCACAGTGCTACCTAATTTTCCTAGCAACCCTGTGTCTCCTCATCTGTCAAACTAGTTCCTTGTGTGATCGGTGTTTCCTGAATTTTCCTGGTCATCAAGATCACTGGAATGCTTCATAATCACAAGCCCCTCCCTAGAGACAGATTCAGAGCCCAGGTCTATCCTTGTCTTGCAGAAACTGCATGTGTGCCAAATAGGTAAAAGCAATTCTAATGTCTCTACTGAATCCAGTAGATTCATGAATATGCTTTCAACATGTAATCAATATAAAAGTAGTAATGAGATATTGTTACACCCCCATAGTTACATTTCCCATAGTTACACTTCAAAATCATACTGTCTTAGATCTAAATTCCTACTTCTTTCAACTATCACTCTTTTTTTAAACATTTATCAGACTACCTTAATGACTTCACAAGAGATCTAAAATCTTTCAGAAAATAGCAAAGGATCAGTTCTCTGAGCCACTCCACAGGCCTACTTCCTCCATTCTTGCCCTCCCTCTTCTGTCTAGCCTGCATCCTATAATTTATCCCAGAAATTAAGCCCTCAACTTCCTCTGCCTTTCCAACTTCCATTACACTCAACATCTGAACTCCTATCCTAAATGAATGAGTCTTTTGCAATTCAAAACCAATGTAGTCAAACCTGCTAAATAAAGCCATATATCATTGGCATGTGTCCCCCTAAGATGCTCAACAGCAAGAAGGCATCAATTGTGGAGTGGTCAAGAGCATGGAGCTCAGTTCCCAACTCCACCATATATATGTGGGGTGCCCATAGGAAAACAGCATGACTGCTTCATACCTCACTGTCTTCACCTGCAAAGGGGATGATAATTTAACATACCTTTCAGGTTTATTAGGAATGAACAAACTAATGTTTATAAGGTGCTTAGTTATATAATTGTTGGATAAATAAAAGTTCTACCTCTCCTTTGTGGTTCTCTGTTCATAATTAGTTACAGCTATTCCAAATCTTCATTCTTTGTAATTCTCCAAACAGCTCAGGCTCAATCACTTCAGCAGATGATGTGATCTAATTCTCAGAATAAATGTGTATATTTGTGTATGTATGTGTACACATATACATACATGTAGTAGGTATGAATTTCTTCAAATAATCTCCCTCTGAGAAGCCCCAGGACATTGGTCTGGGCAATGACTTTTTTGAATATGACTCCCAAAGCACTAGCAATTAAAGCAAAATAGACAAATTAAGTTATACCAAACTAAAACATTCTATATAGCGAAGGAACCAGTCAACAGAGTGAAGAGACAGAAGAATACCTATGAAAAGTATATTATCTGATAAGTGGTTAATATTCAAAATATATAAGAAAAGCAAACAAGCCAATAGCAATAAAACAAA